CGGGCTCCATCCAGTGGGGGGTGAGCGGGAGTCAGCCCATCAGTGGTTCTCTCTCATCATTGATGTCTCTCTCTCTCTCTCTCTCTCTCTCTCTCTCTGTCTGTCTCTCTCTAAGATGAAGACTGTAGGAACATGTAGCTATAGCACCGGTGACTTTGGTTGAGGACATCAGCTGAGTCACCCTCTCCCCGCTGTCCCCAGGGTGGAGAACATGTCCATGCGGCTGGAGGAGATGAATGAGCGGGAGAGCTTCATGAAGACGGCGCTGCAGACGCTGGACCTGCGGCTCTCGCAGCTGGAAGAGCTGTCGGGCCGGGCGGCCAGCGCCCTGGAGGCCCTGGCGGGGCTGGAGTGGTTGAGTGTTGACCTATAAACCAGGAGGTAATGGTTCGATTCCCAGTCAGGGCACATACCCAGGCTGCATCCCGGGTGGGGCATGCAGGAGGCAGCCAATCAATGATTCCCTCTCATCTCTCCCTCCCTCTTCCTCTCTGAAATCAATAAAAATATATTAAAAAAATTGTGGGAGGTAAAAAACAGAAGGTGCCCCGGGCTCGGGGTTCGGCCAGAAGAAGGCCTGCTCCTTCCGTGGGAAGGGAGAGAGGGACCCCCAGAGGCACCTGGCCCCGGGCAGGCAGGGCAGCCTCCGCCTCCCCCCCGGCCGGAGCGCCCCAGCCACCCCCGGGGGCAGTCGACTCGCGTTAGACAACATCCAGGACCCATCGGAGTCAAAATCGGGCCTAGAAACTGGGGTTCCCACGGGCGGGGACGAAAGGGGGGCGGACTCGGAAAGGGAGAGGGAAGAAACTGAGTCCCCCAGTGTCACCCTCACAGCGGCCCCGCCTGCAGGGAAGAGATCAGATTCGCAAGACGCGCAGCTTACAACGGCGGGAACAGCACGGGTGGAAGGGGCTGTGTCCGGCCCCCCGGGAGACACGCAAAGGCCACGCTACGACCCCGGCCAGGCCTTCCATGCCTGTCGAACCCTGGAGTCCACGAGCTTTGTGTATTCCCACGGGAGGAAGCTGGTCGGCGGGGTTCACCCGTGGGGCGCGGAGGCCGGGTCCCTCCTGGACCAGGCGTGGACCGCCGAGTGGAAATACCAAGTTCAGAAGATCACGCGGTCCCGCAGCACCGACATCCCCGCCTACGTGGTGTCAGAAGCCGCCAGGCGGGCGGAGCAGAAAGACCCATCGACCGACACCGAGGAGAAGGCTCATGGCGCTTCCAGGGGGCTCCCCTGGACCCCTCGCCTGTCCCTGGCCGTGACCGAGACAGCGGAAAAGGGGAACCTGCTGGGGGTGAAGGCAGACCAGGCGTCGGGGTTCCCGTCGTTAAGGTCCAAGAGTCTCCACGGCCGCCCCAGGAGGGCTGCGGGCGTGCAGGGCGGGCTAGACACACCCGGGCATGCCAGCAGCGTGGGGAGCCTCGTCGCCGCCCCGCCGGGGATGAAAACGGAGGCCCAGCCAGAGAAAACTTCCGCCGAAACGGAGTGCTAATGCGCTAGGCTTCTCGGGTTTTGACATCAAAGCCGCAGAGGACCACCGCCCCCTTGGCCGTCGAGACGTCATCAGGTTATGAAAACGTTTGCGTGAAAGATACTGGGCCCCGTGGACGCGCGATGGAGATTTCAGGCACGGCACTTCTCAAAGCAGCGGTGCGAGGAGTGCTGTGGATTCCCTGTGTCCTCCCCAAATTCCTAGTCGGAACCCTGACCCCAATGTGACTGTAACCAGAGACACGGCTGTGAGGAGGTCCTTAAGGATAGACGAGGTCATAAAGGACGAGTGCCCTGATAAGACACCAGAGCCCGGCCGGTGCGGCTCAGTGGTTGAGCATCGACCTATGAACCAGGAGGCCACGGTTCGATGCCCGGTCAAGGGCACACGCCCGGGTTGCTGCAGGCTCCATCCCCAGTACGGGGCATGCAGGAGGCAGCCGATCCATGATAGATTCTCTCTCTCCCTCTCCCTTCCTCTCTGAAATCAATAAAAATATACTAAACAAAAAGCTCTTAAAATCAATAAAAACATATTTAAAAAAGAAGAAGACACCAGAGTGCTCTCCAGGACCCAGGAGCTTGCTCCCGCCCGCCCTCAGCCCCTGTGTTAGAAGCCAGATGAAGAGCTCACACCAGAGACCTACCTTGGTCTTGAACTTCTACCCTCGAGAACTGGGAGGAACCCATCTCCGCGGCTGCAGCCTCCCCTCCGGCCCGTGGAGTTTTTGTGGCGGCAGCCCACGCGGACAGAGACACCGAGACATCTGAAACGGTCATGAGATTTAGAGTTAGGTCAGCATCTTCCCACTTTTCAATCACGTGGTCACATAGGACAGTTACCGAGTTGAGGAAAAGCTACATGGGAAAACCCACATCACGGAGCAACCATTTAAAATAAAAAAAACAAAAAACAGCCCGGCCGGCGTGGCTCAGTGGGTTGAGCAACGACCTAGGAACCAGGAGGTCACGGTTCAATTCCCGGCCGGGGCACAGGCCTGGGTTGCGGGCTCGATCCCCAGTGGGGAGGCAGCCGATCCACGATTCTGTCTCCTCATTGATGTTTCTCTCTCTCTCTCCCTCTCCCTTCCTCTCTGAAATCAATAAAAAATATATATAAGTAAAAATAAAGAAACACCCGTATATTGATTGCAGAGTGTGTGGGGATAACAATCCGTTGCCAACCAGCTTTACTGGGGTGTAACTGACGTATGTCACCGTAGAAGTTTGAGGTGTTACAGCCTTACGATTTCACTCAGTTTGTGAAATGATGACCACAACCGGTCTAGTTCGCGTCCGTCATCACATGGATACAATGAGAAGAAGCCAAAATAATTTTTTTTCTTTGTCATGAGAACTCTTTGGATTTACTCTTTTAACAGCTTTTATATGTATATATGTACCACACGACCGTGCCAACTGCAGTCATGTTGTACGTGACGCCCCCAGGACTTACTCGTTCCACTTATACCCTGGGGGTTCGGACCGTGTACCCACATTTCTCCCGTTTCCCCCTCCCCCCACCTGGTACCTGCAAATCTGATATTTTCCTTTTTTTAAAAAATCCATTTGGTGTAGAGAAATCACGAACTATTCATTAAAAAAAACCAACCTTGAATATCCGTGCACAATAGTGCTTTGAACACAGATAACCCAGTGGACTTAACATTTTAAAACACAATGTTGGTTCCTGTGCAAAATGGAGTCGTGTGTCACGCAAACAAGTTCCCCAGAAGGACCAGTAGGGCTCTGAATCCAGAATACGTTATTTTCAGGGGAAAAAAAAACCAAAAAAGGCAACCTTTGGAATCTTAGTGTAAAACTTTAGAATGTTTCCATTAGCAACGCTTGTCACGATGATTCACGTGGCCACCCTGGGGCTGCCTGGCGACGTGAATGGTGAGACGCATTAGGGTTTCATTCTCCAAAACCTAAGAAGGGTCTCTAGTCTCAACTCACAGATTAGCCGAAATGCCGCCACCACCCGCCCCCCCCGCCTCCCCCAAAGGCTGCTCCAGTTCAGGCCCTGGTTGGGTCAGC